ATTAGACTGGCTCCCACTGGAACAGGTTGCCCAGGGAAGCTGTGGATGCCCCATCCCTGGAGGTGTTCAAGGCCAGGTTGGATGGGGCTCTGAGCACCCTGGTCTTGTCGAAGGTGCCCCTGCCCATGGCACTGGGGTTGGAACTACATGATTTTTAAGGTCACTTCCAATCCAAACCATTCTATGATTCCGTGATTCTGTGACTTATAGCTTCTACATTTGTCCAGTTGGTCTTAGGTGTTTCAAATACAGCTTTCATATGTGGATGAATTCCTCAGTTACAAATAATCATCTTGGTTGCAGTATTGAGAGACCATGATGACTTACACGTCACAGCTTTTTTTCAGGAAAAGAATTCTTTGTTCTTTAGGCAGCACGCTGCTGCGTGGTTTGGCTCACCAACAGATGCTCTTGTGGTGTGAGAGCACTCACTCAGCCTCAGCCATGGTGCAGGCAATCTTTGTCATCTAGCACGGGTAACCCAACCCACACAAAGGTGATGACCCGTATTAGGAGGAAGTTGTCTGCAGTTCACTTGTATCCCCTTAGCTTTTACCATCAAAACAGGCTTGCGACTCCTTTGTCAAGCAGAGCATAATTAGATACCTGCCTTCTCTTTGAAAATAATTTTCTATTTTGAAATGTACTGTGGATCATTGGGCGTAGAAAGCCGGGGAGATGAGCACTGTCTTGCAGTGTAGAGACAGTCCTCATACTTTCTCACTTCCTTCATGGAATTGGCATGTGGTAACTTGTGAATCTTAACACACTACATGGAGGACATTGGGATCATGAGGATTTCCCTGGTCATTTCTTTTTTATTTCCTAAAGAAAAGAGTGATGTTCCCCTTATTTTGATCTGAAGTAGCTGAGGACACTCCTTGGGGTGACAGCTCTGGTCTTTGTGATTCCAGCTTGTGTACTGGTTGCGTAATTACAGCTCTTTAGCTCCCCAATGCCTGCTTCCCTATAACAATTCATCCAGACGACACAGGAGATAGTTCACTGAGGCATCTTCCTTTACTCGAATTGTGCCACTTCAGTCTGTTTGTAGTAAGTACCAAGATCATCTGCATAATACGTGGGGGTGGCAGCAGCTCACATCAGGGTGCAAAATGTCTGGAGATACCTCTCCTTAAATACTTTCCAGACCATAATCAGGGAGTAAGAGACTTGGTTCAGTAGACATGATCTCTCTCTCTCTCTGCCTCTCCTCTGAGGTTTAAAAAAAAATTACTTAGGAACACTTGAGGGGCAACAACAGTAATCAAGAAAAATAAACATGAGAGGTGGATCTTCAGGTGATTAATAGCACAGGAAGTTTCTCCTTTTTTTCCTTCTGAGGTTTCTTGAGCAGATCTGGTCAGGGTTTCTAAGAATGACCCTACACCTATGCTGTTCTGAAACTGCGTGTTAGTTAATGGCCACTAGCAGTTGTGTCTTTGATACTGTGAAAATTACAAATGAGAACAAAACCTAATGTAGGTATAAGGGAATATCACTTGAGTGATAACCCTGCTTTTTCCTCCAATGCTGTTACAAAAAAAAAAAAAAAGGCAAAACATTGTCTTTGTCGTTCTCTTGCATATGAGCCTTACTAAAACTTTATGGCTTTAAGTCAGCAGAAGGAAAAATACCAATGTTTCTGAGTTTTAGATAATACAGACATAAGAAGTAGAGAAAAAATTATAAAAGCATTGAAGTTTTTTTTCTATTTGTTACAAGCAAACACCTTAAAAAAAAAGTTGCCCCATGTAATAAGTTTTAGCTTATTTGTATTGGGGTTTTTTTTCTTAACTTTTGCAGAAGCTCTCAGAACAGCCTGGTTGCCCTGGGAAACTCTCAGCTGGTTTGCATCAGGAATGTGGATTCTGTGAAAAAGCGAGAGGGCTCCCTCCTGCCTTTCAATCCCTCATACCTCTTCCTTGGAAAAGGTGGAGCACGTTGTGCTGGGTCAGAGCCAGCTGATCAGCCAGTGCACACGTGCTGCAGAGTTGGTCACAGGCCCAGTTGTATCCAGTCTCTTACCTGCAGTGTCAGCACTGACCCCACTTCTCCTTCTCTGCTCAGTCCCGGGTTTTTGTAAACATCTGGCACTTCATGTCTTTGAGGGGTTTAATTTAGGTCAGTCAGTGGGCCCAGCTGTGCTGTGAGTGGATTAAGGGATACAGTAACAAGAAAACCTTGATTTCTTCAGAACCCAAACTGAGGGACTTCTGCCAGGAATAATTGCCCTTCTCTTTTTCCTGTATGGTAGTCGTAACAGATTAATGTGACAGGCAACAGTAGTTGATGTACGTAGGTAACAATCACAAAGGTAAGCTTTGAGTTATGCTTCCTGCAATCATTTTATTAGGTAAATACAAAATTAAAATAGAAGTGTTCCGGAGGGGAGTAAAGAAAAGACAGTAAATCATGTCTCTTGATCGTAAGGGCACCTTGCTTGTGACTAAAAGCTTGGATTAAGTCCCTGATTGAAACTAGCCCTGTTCTAAAACATGCATGGAAGACTGGAAAAGTGAGCTCCAGGAGTTGCTTGAGCGAAGAAGACACTGTCTTGCAGGAAAAAAGCACTTGAGTAAGTTATTTTCTGTGCCTTGTAACTGATCTTAGCTGTAAATTAAGGCTAAGTTCACGAGGTGTACCAAACCAGTAAGAACTGTGAGATTGTAGCAATGTAACAGCATAAACTTCCTGAAGTATTTTAAGAGGAAGAAAGATTTGGACTGCCGGTAGTTTTACACAATATGTGTAGCTGCATATTAAAAAGGTTCTTTCTGCCTCATGCAGAAGAGTGGAATAGCTTTGCTAATTTGAGGAAGGCAGAAAGGTAACAGATTAGAATAATTATTTTCTTTTTAAAAATCGATCGTAAGTTTTGAAACAGTTCCTGAATAAGGAGTGAAAAAATAAGGCCAAATAAAATAATCGAAATTAACTTTTTCTTAAATCTGGTCAGTGCATGTTTTGATGAAAAGATTTCATAAAATTTGCTGAATAATACCTTCAAAGATGGGTGGTAGAAAAGAAGATACTTAAACAAGTTGATTTTAAGTTTTATACCCTATGTTTCTGAACTATAGAGGAGATTAAACTATGTTAAACATAAATCCTCTCAAAGTATCTTTTAATTTCTGGGGTTGACATTGCATTTAAATTAAAGTCATTTTAGGTTGACATTGTAAGTGCTATAAACTACTGCTTGAAGAAACCTTGGTACTAAAGAAATATTAAGTGTTGAATTGCTTCTTCTTATCTGTCTTTAGAATTTGGGATTTGCTACATACTCTCTGCAGAAGACATTCAGCTAAGTGAGTGTATTTCATGAGGAAACCTAAAATGCGCTTGCCTCAGAGCTTATAAAGCAAAAACATGTCTTCTGCTTTAGAGAATCAGTGAAGGAGTCTCGCTATGAAGAAGCATTACTTGATGTGGAAGAAGTAAAGAGAAGCCCATTGTCAAAGCTGTGGTGATACAACAACTGAGGGGAAGAAATGGAGACAGTGTAACTATTATTCATCAGCCCTCAGAAGTCTCCACCTAGGCAGCACTTCAATTTTCTTTTCAGTTCACAACGCCCATATTTTTCGCAGCTCTTAAGAAAACCAGCTTCCTGATGTTGCCAGCTCAAACTGTTTTGTGGAGTATCAAGTAAAATGCAAACATTTTTGTCTTTACAGTATAAGAATAGCTAAAACCAACTTAAGTTCACCATATTCCTTACGGTACAATCTATCGGTAGAAAGCCCAGAGCTGTATACAAGTGTTGTTTAACAAACGTAACCATCTCTTTTCAGTGGAACTTGAAATAAACTAAATGGTTAATTAGATAATGTGTATAGCCTTCTTTTTTCTTACCAGTGCTTTGAAACTTTTGTGGAAACGTTGGTTGAGTGGCAAACTTTGATAAACTTGACTTGAAGTAATTCCACGGTAAAGTGAAGTTAGAATAACAGTCATTGCATTCCTATGCCCTGTCTTCTGTATGAAATGGGCTGTAGATCCCAGTGGACCTAAAGCATATAAAATACAGACTTTAGGTTGTTTATATTTGTGAGGTTTATACACTTGGTGTGTCAGCAGCTAGCTTGAAAAACTGCAGGGAACAGCATCACTTGAAAGAAGCTTACTGGCATAATTTAAAAAAACAGGCAGAGGAGAAAGAAAGAAGTGAGGTCTTTGACATGTAAGAAGGACTGCCTATCCTTTCTCAGGATCAGAAAATGGTTAGAAGCTGTATTAATAAGTTTCTGCACAAACTTCCACTTGTCTATCTTCCTAGATACTATATACAATGTATTGCTGAATCATTTAGGCATCTACTCGGAGGAAGAAATAAGGCAGTTGGAAAATTGTGTAGATCATGACTTTGGCAGAAGGGGATGCTGCTATTAGGAATAAGAACTTTTCTGAGGGGACACAGGTTGGGAGCAGAAAAAACCTAAATATAGGAGTATGGAGAACCTATGTCAGGAGGGAGAAGTGGGTGCTGTGACTCAGGGCAGGGGGAAGATGGGGTTGTGAATGTGTTCTGGACTGTGCAGGGAGAAGCAAGTGGAACCAGAGCAGCTGTGTCTGTTCTGGGAGAGGGTATTTTTGGGTGGGTGCTTTTTTACACCCTTTACCTTCACATAGTTGTACTTTATCTGCAGCCCTGCATGGTAACTGGCCATCTAAATTCACATTATTTTTTTCTATATTAAATACATTGTAATACAGATATAGTAATTTGGTTCTCAAGTTGTATGAATCTGCAACATTAAAAAAATATGGTTGCTTGATGAATACATTCTTCTTTCAAAAATGCTAAGTTTCCCCAAAACTAAGACCTCCTTTATTTTTTTGCTCTGATTTCCAGCATCTTTGCCATAGTGTGGTAATGCACAGTAACAGATACATCACTCTGTCCATACAGATGATGCAGAAATCAAGAAACAGGGTGTGTGACTGCCACAGGATGCAATTCAGCATCTTCTTTTTTCTAGGCATATTTGTGAGCGTTGCTGTACCAGAACTATGTCCATGTACTCTGTGCTCATGTCCTCACTAAATAGAAACAGTTCTTAATGTACACTGAATAAAATCACCCCCTTGAATAGCTATTTCACCTGATACACAAGGTATTGTCTCAATGATGGATACACGAGAGTGTAGGGTTACCAGGTCGCTGTTCCTGGCTTTGCTGGTAGCCTTAACGGGTGTAAATTCTGCTAGGCTGCTTTGACACAACTGGAAAAACCCTGCTGAATCGAGGTGTGCTGACCTCAGTCTTTCAGTGTTCATGTGAACATCTCTGGTTGCCAACAGCGTCAAAGATGCCTGGGCTCTAACCAGATTTTTTTTTTTTTTATTTTTGTTTTTATAATCAGAATCTCACATCAGCTAAACTCTCCCAGCTAACCCCTTCCTCGTCACCTGATACAACGAATGCAGCTAGAACAAGTGAGTAAGTACTACTGACCATCACCAGCTGTACACAGGAGGAGTAAGTTATAGGTGCCTTGTGTGGGAAACTGGCTTCCCTGGCTTTCAGAGTTGTGAATTTTTACTAACTCAGAGGACCTGGGATACCCACTGGATTAATCTTACTGCATATAAATGAAAACAAAATCTGTGGAGGCGTGTAAATAGAAAGTGATGTGCTCCCATTGATGGGCTAAGGAGGGCTGAGGTGACCGTATGTAGTCTGATTGTAAAATCCAGTGGGGCAATATAATGCTGTAACTCATCTCTGAGATGACTGTGTCCAGTTTTGTGGTGGTGTGAACACTGTTGTGTAGGTGGAATTGAATTAGGTGCCTGAAAACTTCAGGCACTTTGAGTTCCCTAGTCTGGATCAATTTGCAGGATGTTGCCTATTTGCTTTACTTCATGGTTTGTCAACATTTCCCAGGTCTTCACAGGAACAGAAAAAGTACTTAAAGAAGTATTGAAGTGGTAAACAGCATCAGCCCTAATGTTTCTCCTCCTGTTAATCTTTACTGAATGAGAGCACTGCATTCACTTGACTTTTAGAGTGTAAAGACTGGAAAGCAGTATCTGAGTGCAGTTCTATTACAGTACAGATTATTGACAGACATACATCCAGTGCATGCACAGAACACTTTGTGAAGTGTGTACGCTTCGGTGCTTTGGGGCTTTCTGATTTGTAAGGAGGTTATTTCTGGGGTTTGTTTTTGATGTCAGTAGTGGTAGGCTCAGTTTACATTAAGAACTGCTTGGTGTTGAAAGTTGTATTAAAAACCACCCCCACTTCCTTACAGTACAAACAAACAAAAATACACCCTAAAGATATGAAGCCTGTTAAAACAAGCCGATGAGCTTTCCAGGAGGAGCCAGGGAGAGGTGAAGCCACGAGGAGGCTGAGGGCCCATGGGAAGAGTTGCAAGAACAGGTTGGTTGGTGAGAGAACGAGCGGAAGGGTGAAACTAAATATGGAGCTCAGCCATATCTAAAGAACAGTTATTTTTTTTCCTCTTGTCAGCTACAGTACACTTCTTGTTACTTTCTCTCTAAAATTCTGGTAAAAATCTCTGGTAGATATGTATTAATTTGTCACTGACTCAGTCTCATCTTTTGTTTATTTTTATTATGTTTTTTCTTGTCTAAATACAGGCTACTGATGTGTTCAAGCTGAGGACAAGTTAGGTGTAATTTATTAGGCTGTTATGTATAACTTTATTTCATAACTTTATTTTTAAATGAATTTTATATATCTGAGAATATAGGGTGTCAATTCTTGCCATTTTAAGTTGTACTGTAATTCAATATCAAGTAAATTTTCAAATTTGCTACATTATTAGCACTCTAAATTTGTAGTTAATAAAATGTCCTCATTGTAACTTGTATTTTGCTTAGCATTTATGCTTTAGTTAGAACTGGGAATTGAAAGCATTTTAAGTTAGAAAGGGCTGATGAAAGAGAGTTCAGCTGTTCCTTCCTCCCATTCAAAAAACAATCATATACTCTAATTTTCCTTCTTGTTTCCTTAAAGGGGTTTGGATTACAATTTGGTTTATATTCAAAATAATTCAGGAAATGAAAACCAGTTCATCATAAACAGGTTTCACAGAGCACCCCTGTAGGTAATGCTTTATTTGTAATGCTCATGAAATCAGCTACTCTAAGTCAGGGCGGTGGACTTTTGTGTACGTTGTAGGACGACGCGGTCCTTGTGGTGAAAAGCAAAGCGGTGTAACAAATGTCATGTGCTAAGAATTCATGAGAGTGCAGGAGTTGTTAATTCCTTCCATGATTTTCCTCAGGCTCTCTTCTCCGGAACCATGCCAGAGATGACAGAGAATGAGACACCTACTAAGAAGCAACATCGGTGAGTTCCTGTGGGAAAATGACTGTGTTGTAGTTTGGTAGTCTGAGATCATGTTGCAGTTACAAAGTTTCCAGCTGAAAGTTTGGCAATAAGGGTATTCTGAGGCTTGACCAGGATTGATCCAGAAGTTTGGGAACTATGGCTGCAAAACTCCCTTTCTCTCTTGCCCTGTCTGTGCCAAACTATTTGCAGAAGACATGCCTAGCTGGGTCACCTGGGCCAAAGAGATTCTCTGGTTACTACACTGGCTACTCTGATGTGTCGCCGTCCCGGCTGGAGTGCAGCCTGTGTTATTGCGGAGGCTCCTGGTAGATACTGGAGGGTAACTATACTCACTTTGACACAGTAATTTAGATTTCTTCCTCAGTGAAATCTGGATCTTACACTCAAACCTCTGCTGGAACTCAAGATAAATCCTGAGGTTGTACAGCAGCTCTGTGACCAAAATTGGTAAAAAAGTAACTTGGCAGTCTTTACAACTTTTCCTGCTTTTTGTTCCTTTTAGTAGCATGTTGATCTAATTAACACCTGATTAGTAGGGGAGTGCTTCAGTCCACCGTTAAATGCAGCATTCATCTCATGCTAGGTGACCATGTAGGGTATGATTTATGATTAGGAAAAGCTCAGAGAGAACACTGATTCATCCTACAGAAAGTTTTTCAGTCTTTATGGATTTCGTGACTCTTTCTTACCCACTAATAGAGCATTTTGTATTCTGTATTGGTAATGTGAATCAAAGGGCAGCTGTGTCTCTTCAATCCTTATATTCTTGTGCATATTTAGTATATATGATCATTTTAGTGGATGTCTCCAGGTCTGACCAACTACAGTAACAGTCCTGTCCTGTAATCGTTGTCTAAATTACTCTGGATGCACACTACTTTTGGTGAGTTACTTGAATTAAAAAGGATACATGCCTCATAGTAATCACACATCATCCACATGTATCTTGCATTCTCTCTTCAGATTCCTTGTTATATCTGGACTGTGCTGTGACAGTCGAAAAGAAGAGCAAAACATGCATCCTTTTGGCACACATCTAGACTGAGGGTGTGCTGCTGGACAGAAATCTTCTAGAAGTTGTTTGGTTTTTTTTTTTTCTGGAATGTTTCTTTTTCCAGAAAATAGGTGTTTTGCTTTACTACACTTCCTGAAAGTATTTGTCTTATTTGCATGTATACAGTACATGATTTATATAAGTAGGATCCACATTTGGGATTTATTGACTTCCAGCAAAGCAAATTGAAGGATTACACAGTGATTGGGACCTTCAGGTGGACATCTGAAACCAAAGAGAACCCTCACATGCCCAAATTATACCTAGTCAGAATTTTGAGACAGTAAAGAACAGCTGCTGAGGAACAGTGTTTCTGGTTTCTCTCACAAAGGAAGCATTTTTATACCAGAAGGTATGATGTTTGAAGATAATAGGGCTAGAAACATGAACTTGCATGGTACCATTTTCTTTCTGTTTTCTGTAAAAACATTGATCCAGTGACTGTTAAAGTGACATTTCAAACAAATACTTAACTGCCTTGTTCCTCAGAAACAAAACTATTTTTTTAAATATTTGACCTTATTGAGCACTGCATAGTATAGCAGTTGTTGCCGAGCAGAAACACAAAAACCCAGTTTTGCCTATAAATATGGACCAATAATCAAATGGAATATTACACTGTGCCTTGTTATACTGAAATTAAGTCTGAACACGAACAAATTTTGGTTAGAAATTATTTAATATCAATGTCTAAGAACATCTGGCTGTGACTTCTGCCGTGTTCTTGTTCACAGAGCAGACTACAATATTGAGTATTTTTGGCTGTAATGGAAATAATAAATATTTGTTTGTGTGCAGATTTTTTCCCTTCTCTTTCACATCACTGTTTTCCCTTTATATTTCACAGAAAGAAAAACCGGGAGACACATAATGCAGGTAGAAACATTATACTTTGTTATTTGGTCTGGGAATAAGCACAGATGCTTTGAACTAGTGAAACATATTTTGCATGGAGAAGGTTCTACACTTAAAAAAACTCACCCTGTCAAACACCTTTCAGCATCCTTGGGTAGAATATCTGTGCAGAAGGGCTTCTTGGTTGTTTCTAGTTGGCTATTTTCCACAGTACTTTTTTAAGGGGAGGACCATGCCCCTGGCTTTCCAATGCTTGTAAATTAAGAAGTAAACAATTTCAGTTGTGTTCAGTTATAAAGGAAAATAAATGCACCGGCATTCACAGCCAGCTAATTTCCACCTGTCTCAAAACAGAGACAGATATCTGACCTGAGAGTTTTGCAAATTCCCTGGATTAGAAGTATTCTTGTAGCCTGTTGCTGAGGCACCCACCTGGATGCTGACATCCCAGAAAATGTTTGCAAATGCTGTCTGTCTGTTGCAGGAGTCACATCCCTCAGGCAGCAACTAGTCAGTGTTTAGCTACAATGGCATATTCTATGAGTGTGAGCACAAAGATGGACTGAGGAGGAGTCTGACAGGTTTGAGCCTGGTTTATACTAAGAAACTAAGAAATCACAGTTCTCTCACTAAACAGCACTATAGTGTGGTCTTACCTCTGGAAAAAACTGAGTAGTTTCTATGTGAAAGCTGTAGTGCTTGTCAGGCTGCGCTCAGGGTGTGGCCAATTTCTAAAGAATTAGGAAGTACCAGGAAACAGTCTTATCAAGTTTAGAAGTTTGCTGGCCTCATTCTAATCCTCAGTTCCTGATTTACTTGCCAATAGCTTTCCAAAATCTTTATTTACTGGGCTGAACTCTGCAAGATATGGGGACCAGCTCCCTCCAGCCCTATAGCTTGCTTAGTCATTAATATCTGGACAAGCTGAATAGAGTGTGGCAAATATCAAAACAGAAGAGTAGCACTTCACAACCACTGTGATGTCTGTATGTATTAGTAAGACATATAATAACTAACTCCCAGGTATCATATGTTGAAATGTTTATACTGCTGTAATTTCTACAGTAAATTTCTTGCCTGAGAGCCTTTGTCTTGCTGTGTTTAGTGTATTTAGGCCTGTGTCTGTCAAGGCCATCAGTCTGTCCTGAAATACAAAAAAAAAAAAAAAAATTAATTGTTTGAGACATGTAAACTGAAGTGACAGACTACTGAAATAGAACTGTTTAAATTAAATTGGTATGTCCTTTGTAAAGGATCAAAATGGAATACACTCACCTGTAGGTCACTGTGTGACAGTGACAGGTTTCTGTGTGCAACCAAAAGCAGCTGAAGTGCACAAGCCGCAAGCTTTGTTCAGCACAATGGACACCAGCTTGAACCTTGAAAAAGCCATAACAGAACCTTTTTTCAGGGTTTTTGGGGAAGAGATGTCTAATAGTTTTAGTTCATGTAGAATATGAAAACATTTCAGTCCAAAAAAAAATAGCTACTTAAAAGTAAACTGTATTTGGAAGAGGCTGACTATGGTGGATGGAAAACAAAGATTAATACTATCTGAAAAAAACATACCCAAAGGTATCTACAGTCCTAGACTTATAGACTCTTTGTGCCACTGCTCGGGCCTTGTGAAGAGGTAAAAGATGTCACTAGAGGACTACAGATGAAGCATTTTCTGGCCTTCTCCAAACTAGGTAGAGTAACTGATAGTCCTTATACCTAGAGCTTCAACTGTGATTAATGTTGGCTGCACCATCAATATAAATTTAAAATTAAGACTGAAGACTAATAAAATCCATGTTATTTCTCCTTTTATGCTAAACCTGACTTTAGTATTTATTAGACATGGGTTATCTTCCCAAATATGAAATGGATTCATTCCATAATCTTGGTTCATATGCTTTCTTTCTGCATGCCTAAATTTAATCAACCCGACTTGTGAAAAAAGTGACAGGAAACTCAGCTAGAAAGCAGTACCAAAACCTGAATTCTGAGTTGCAGTAACTCTTCTTTTCCATGAAGGGGTCCAGAATGTCCCCACCTTTTAAAGATATTGCTGCTTATGTCATGGCTCTCAATTCCACTGAGTATTAATTAATTGAGGCTTACATTAGAGGAATTTTTTTCTTCTCTCAAGTTATTACAAGTTTCTATGTGCAATGAAAAAATGTATTTATGCGCCCTAACACTGTATTAGTTGTGCTGCTGTTGTGCTGACTTGCCCAACCAGATGACACGGTGCATATTATTTTTGGTTAGTGGAGAGACATCGAAAGAAGAAGATTAATGCTGGGATAAACAGAATTGGAGAACTCATTCCCTGCTCTCCAGCACTTAAGCAGGTAAGTTTCCACCCAGAGGTGCATACAGGCTTTCCTGTGAAATGCTCAAGTGTTTCTCTGTCAGTAGAGGTATAAATACATATTTGTCATTTGTCTTATGAAGAAGGTAAAACTGTCTGAATTTATATTCTCAAAAATCTCGATGGCTGTATTCAAAAAAACTATTTGTAATAGAATTCCTTTTTGGAAGTGCAGGGTCACGTTAATGTAATTACACAGATTTTCAGCCTTTTATCTGACAGTGTTGCATATGACTGCTGAAGTGACTGACTTTCTCCTCAACTCATAAATGCAGGATTTCCTCTGTAGAAGGGGTGGCAGGCTGGGCAGAAGTGGGTTAGATCAGGTCAGTAGGTTGCTGGTTGCATTGTGCAACTCCTGTTTGTAAAGCCAGTTTCTACTGATGCTGCTGAATGTAGTCTGTGTGATGACTGAGTGGTGAAAGCTGTGGATTAAGCAGGATCTCTTTTCAGGTCATTCTCCAATCCCTGCTCAGCCCTTTGCAGGTGCTCATTTTAATGTCATGAGATGTCAATAGAATTCCATTCCTGCTTATTTTTGTCATCTTTGATATAATGGGATGAAAGCAATTCAGAAACTGAAATAATAGCAGTAATTTAAGACACTGTCCTTCTGAAAGATGAAGCAAGAAAAATGGTTTGAGGTTGATGCACAGAAGCATCTTTTTCAAAGATAAAGCTGTCTCCAGCAGAGACTGTTCCTACTGAACAGTAGAAGAAATTAAGGAGTGAACAAAGACCTTGCAGGCAGAATAACCACAGTTTCATAAAAAGATGATGGTGGAGGGCTTATTTTCTCTTCCCACATTTTGCAGTATATTACTTTCAAAATTATGCATATATCTCCCTGGATAGTTGTTCCATGTTTGTTTCTTTCCTAATAAAATATTTACAAGACAGGAGCCTGGAAATTTCATGTGATATATGTGTTTATTAGTGAACACAAATTTTAGGCTGATCTGCAAGAAATGATTGCTGGCTGTTCAGGTTCTGTGGCCATAGTATCTACCTTTGGGCATCAGAAAATGTCAGCTCCAGCACTGAAAATGTTATTCTGTAAAATCTCATAGTATTTTAGGGTAAGAGTCACTCATGAAACCTGTAGTTCATCTTAAAAAAAAAAACAAAAAACCAAAAAAACAAACAAGCAAAAAAAAAACACCAAGAAAAAAAAAAACAACCAAAGGAAAACAAACAAAAAAACCCTAAAACAAAACAAACCCTACCCAGCCATAAGGAGTCATTCAAGGTAGCACATTTTTAAAGACCTCTTGGAGCAAATGCAGTCTCATCATCATTGGATCTACCAATTCCATACCCGTCTCCTAATTTTATATGTATGTTTTCTTTTAAAGAGCAAGAACATGATCCTGGATCAGGCCTTTAAGTACATAACAGAAATGAAAAGACAGAATGATGAACTTCTATTAAATGGAGGGAACAATGAACAGGGTAAGTAGAGATGCTGCTGGAGGCTCTAGGACTTCTGTCATTCACTTCCACTATGTATCTGTTTGTACTGGATCAACAAATGGGAATCCCAAGACATTATGCACATACAGGAAAAATAACAGCTGCTTAGAATATCTTGAAACAAAAAGCCAACAGAGTGCCCAAGTGATTGTTCTTGGACGTAGCTGTGAAGTAATGAAGCAATCGCATCGTGAAGTAATGACGGAGTTTATAGGTGATGAGACGTCATCTAGTAACTCCTGTCCCGGTTTATGCCACTGTAGTGACCAGAGTGATTTCTGACGAACTTCAGTTAGATTTTTTTCATCCAAAACATGGAGTTTCCTTCATTCCTAGAGCTTTTTTCTTTTCTCTCAAAAGCTGTACAAGTGGCCCATTTGATAAAAATACAATGCATCATATAAAATCTTCTTGAACAGATATGTAAAAGTACAGTGATGGAGGTATGACAGAAATAATCTCAGAGCTAATGTGGTGGTTTGTGAATTCTAAATAGTTTATCTTTTTGATACAGTTGGATTTGAAAAATCTAGGTGGTTTTCCTAGTTAGGTGAGCCGTCTCCTGAGTGTTTTGCCAGTTTTTGTAGTTTTATACGAGTGCTTTGTATTTAATTTTGCTTATAATTTTTAGATGTAATGGAACTTAATTCTGCTGGAAAGCCATGAGATTACCAATTAAATAAAAACAGTTTTCGTCTTTGCAAAAGAGCAGGGAAAAGAAAAAGATTAATGTGCTTGTCTTTCCTTCAGCAATTAAACAATTTTGTTTAGCATTCAGTTTCATCTGAGTTAGTCCTGAAGTTTTTTTTCTAAGTAACGTGACATATCCTGCTATTGGTAGTGGAATAGTCTGTGAAGTCCATTCACTTTCCCACTCAGTAGAGAGGCTTATCAGGGTAAGAGTCTTCACTTAAGTTATGTGAAGAGGGAATACATTATTAACAATTTATTCAATTTATTTCAACGATTTATTTCATTACTACACAGTATTTACTCTCTAAGTCATGTGGTATAACATTATTTCAGTATTTGTTCTGCTGCTGATGTAATGGAGTGCTCTCACTGTTTTGTAGCTGAAGAGATAAAAAAACTCCGGAAACAGTTGGATGAACTGCAAAAGGAAAATGGGAGATACATCGAACTACTGAAAGCAAATGATATTTGCCTGTATGACGACCCTACAATCCACTGGAAAGGAAATCTCAAAAATGCCAAGGTCTCAGTTGTTATTCCCAGCGATCAGGTTCAAAAGAACATCATTGTCTATTCTAATGGGAGTCAACCCAATGGAAATAACCAAGGAGCACCTGTCCAGGGAATAACGTTTAATGTTACTCATAATTTACAAAAGCAAACAGCCAATGTTGTGCCAGTTCAGAGAACTTGCAACATAGTGACTCCTGTGACGATTGCTGGCATTTATCCCACAGAAAACAAGCCATGGTCTCAGCCTACGGTTTCTCCACTGGCATCTGCTCAGACAACTCCAGCAGGGCCCGTTCTTGAGCTTTCCACCCCAGAGAATGAGCGAGGTGTGCTCACCACTGCTGCTGCCAGCTCACAGAGTGCATCTCAGTCCAGCACAGAACAGGAACTACAGTGTTCTTCAAGTAATGCACCACAGAATGATCAAAATCTCCCCAAAAGTAAAAATGAGGAGGAGGGCACTAAGCCAACAAAGAAAACACTCCTGCAGGGAATCAGCCTTCCTTCCAGTGCCTCTGTGGAAACCTCCCAAGTTCAACAGGTGAATGCAGCTTGCTCAAATACAGACAATTCCAGGAGTGACCTCCAGGAAAGCTGTGTCATTTCAGCCACAGACACAGCCTGTGTGCCACCTGTGAGACTGTCTACTGCAGATAGCTTTTCCTCTGTAAATGTCCTCAAAAGCACAGACATAGTGAGCAGTGCCGGAGTGCCTGCGACCTCTGCAGCAGAAGGAGTTAAGGCTGTGACAGCAATAAGCACTCTGGCTGCCAGTCCCTTAGAGAACTGCTGGTCTTTTTCAGGCTCTTCAGGTGTTGGCACTTCAGACTTGAAAAACATGAGTAGCCTTACACGGATGCCTTCAACTGGAAACACACAGACCACGTGGACCACTTTGCAGCTGGCAGGAAATACTGTCCAGCCACTAAGCCAAACGCCATCTGGTATAATGACTGCACTATTAAATGAGCCAGTTAATGGTGCTGGTACTGTGTCTTCTGCTCACAGCAGGCCTTTGACCACCAGTATCAGTTTGAATGCTTCTCTGCCTGGGGATGGCCAGGCAGCTGAACAGATTGTAGTTACCTTGCCCTCATGCCCACCCTTACCTATGCAGCCTTTAATCAGCCAGCCACAGGTTAAAACTCAGGCTGCAGGAAGTATCCTTCCATTAAATTCAGCTATGCAGGTGATTCAGATGGCTCAGCCAGTCGCGTCAGCTGTTACAGGAGCGCCAGCTAACCAGAATGTCATCATTCTCCAGCCTCCAAACCCCGCTCCGTGCCCTCCGATTGTGAGAGCAGAAGTTCCCAGCCAAAATGTTAGTCAGCAAATTGTAATTATACAGGCTGCTAATCAGAATCCTCTTCCCCTCCTCTCCGCTCAGCCTTCTGCTTCTGTGAGAGTTCCTGTGAATGGGCCGACTGCAGTTGCGAACTCCAGCAGCTCCATGCAAAATGCGTCTCTTCCACAGACTTTTGGAGGGAAACACCTTGTCCATATATTACCAAGACCATCTTCTTTGCCGTCTTCTAGCTCTACTCAAACATTTTCAGTTACAATGTCCAATCAGCAGCATCCTCAGACTATCTCGTTAAATGGGCAGCTTTTTGCATTGCAGCCTGTGATGTCCTCATCTGGAGCTTCAAATCAAGCCCCTATGCAAATTATTCAACCCACCACCAGCGAAGATCCAAATACCAATGTTGCCCTCAATACATTTGGTGCTTTAGCCAACCTCAATCAAAGCATATCGCAGATGGCTGGGCAGAGCTGCTTACACTTGTCTCTCAGCCACCCCACCAATCCCGCAACCATCAATAACCAGATTGCCACAGTTAACTGTGTGTCATTGCCAACTTCTGTGGCATCTTCAGTGCCTGCGGAGGTTTCAGTACTAACCAGTGCATCTAATTCAATAAATGCTTCCCCCAAAAAACCGTCTGCTGGCTTGCCATCCAGTGCAAAATCAAAAAGGACAAACAAAAAGCCAAGTACGAAGAAACACCAAGCAGTCAACAATAAAGTGTCCTGTGCAACAGTTTCTAGCAAAGATGGAGGAAAGGTGGACTGTGCTCCTGTGGAAACAGCGGCAAAGCATTCAAGTGGGGAAGGGCCGCTGGAAAACACTCCAGCAGTATCTCAATCTGTAACTATATCACAGGCAAGCAGCGTGGCAGCATCGAGTGGTGTCGGTATTTCTGACTCTCATTCCAAAGAGACTGCGAGCTCTGAACAGGCAGTGAAAGCACCCTCTGTTCCCAAGCCGAGCTCAGAGGCACCTCCTTCTTTACCACTGGAGTCCGTGGTGTCAGAGCAGCTGCCTCTTGTCCCATCGGCTCCCAAGGATGCTGCTCCTCACCAGCAGGCACTTGGACCTCAGAATCACCCACCAACTGTCTCTGACTTGTCAGAGTCTCCCAAACCCTGTGAACCCCCCAGCACCTTAACGTCCTCCCGTAGCGAAGCACAGGTGACACATTCTCAGGTTGCTGGGACATCAGCAGCACAGAGCGGCACAACAAGTCATAATTCCAAGGCAGGAATGATTTCAGAGTCTTGCAACATTGAGCAGGATTCCTCAGTGGTAATGCAAGATGCAGACTTGTTAGAAGGACAGGGTCTAACCAAAATGCTGTCTGATCTCACAAAAGAAAGAACAGCTGTGGAAAAAAACTCTTCATTTACTGTTCAGGGGGAGCACTCTAATTTTCCTATGGAAAACTCCAAATCAGCAGAATCAAATGCTGATTTGCCCGAGAAGCAGGAACTCCTGCTAATGAACTCGGAAGGTGACACTCTCTCCCAGCATCACTCCTGCATCTCTGATCAGGAAGTGGTCAGTGCTTCCCTTATTGCTGGCAGGCAGGCAGACTCCCCAATGTCAACCAGCTCTGGCAGCAGTCGAGGCTTCTCAGTTGCATCTATGTTGCCAGACACCACCAGAGAAGATGTCACAAGCAGCACCTCAACCACCACCTGTAACAGCTGCACATTTTCAGAACAGACTGATATTGTAGCTCTTGCGGCGAGAGCTATTTTTGACCAGGAAAACCTTGAGAAAGGTGGAGGAGGAGTACAGGTTAACACGAGGGATGCTGTCTCTAAGTCAGCTGAGGTTGCACCGCTGGAGAGAGAGCAACAGCCTTTTAAACCTCAGTCAGTGAAAGAAAACAATGCAGGGCCGTTGGAAGTGGCCCCAAACAAATTCAGTGCTCACGATACAGCACCGGCAAACATTGACAGGCAGGTTGAAAAGCCAAGCTGCTCCGTAGGAGGTGTAGAAACATCGAACCCTCCTTTGCAGATTTCCACCTCCCAGACACCAAGCATAACCAGTCTAAGCGTGAATAATCTAATACACCAGAGTCGCATTGTCCATCCCCTGGTGAGTTGCTCAAGTTTATCCCAGCCTTCGGAGCCTGCAAGTGTCCCTGCAACTGTGAGCCTCTCCCTTCCATCTAGCACGTATATCAATCAGTCTCCAGGACCTGCTATGATGAGTGAGTATGCTCAGGAACAACTGAATGCCATTAGGGCAAGCACCATGCAGGCTCCCCAGCTGCAGGAGTCACACTTAAAGCATCAGAGTCACGAAGGTCGCAAAGACTCAGCCAAGCGGGCCGTTCAAGATGACCTTCTGCTTTCTACAGCAAAGAGGCAAAAGCAGTGCCAGACAGCACCCATAAGGCTTGAGGGGATGGCATTGATGAACCGGACACCAGAGAGTATCGCTGATCAAACACAGATGCTGGTCAGTCAGATTCCTCCTAATTCTTCCAATTCAGTGGTGTCCGTGAGCAATCAAGGGCATGCTGATGGCCTCAATAGATTATTTCCACCCAACAGCAATTTTGTAACGCCAGCTTTGAGGCAAACTGAGGTTCAGTGTGGTTCTCAGCCATCAATTTCAGAGCAGCCAGGCCAGGCAGGGCAGCACTTGCAGCCAATTCAACATGTTCCTTCCCAAGGCATCTCTCACCTCCACAATAATCACCCATACTTAAAGCAACAGCAGGCTGGTCAGTTGAGAGAGAGGCACCACTTGTATCAGCTGCAGCACCACGTCACTCATGGGGAAAACTCAGTCCACTCTCAACCCCACAGTGTCCACCAACAGCGAACAATACAGCAGGAGGTGCAAATGCAAAAGAAGAGGAATCTCATCCAGGGAACACAAGCCACGCAGCTTTCCCTGCAGCAGAAACACCACGGAAGCGATCAAACACGGCAAAAGGGTGGTCAGCCTCATCCTCACCACCAACAAATGCAGCAGCAGATGCAGCAGCACTTTGGAGCTTCCCAGCCTGAAAAGAACTGTGAAAATCCTGCAACAAGCAGAAACCATCATAACCACCCTCAGAGCCATATGAATCAGGATATTATGCATCAGCAGCAACAAGATGTTAGCAGCAGACAGCAAGGTTCCGCTTCTGAACATGTTTCAGGGCACAATCAGATGCAAAGACTTATGACCTCAAGGGGCTTAGAGCAGCAAATGGTGTCCCAGGCAAGCATCGTAACCAGACCATCAGATATGACCTGCACCCCTCACAGGCAGGAAAGAAACAGAGTTTCCAGCTACTCTGCTGAGGCCCTCATTGGGAAAACGCCCTCTAATTCGGAGCAGAGAATAGGAATATCTCTTCAAGGCCCTAGGGTTTCTGACCAGCTTGAAATGAGAAGTTATCTTGATGTTTCCAGAAATAAAGGGTTGGCGATTCATAATATGCAGGGCCGCTTGTCTGTCGACCACACAGTTGGCTCAGATGTGCAGCGTCTTTCCGACTGCCAAACCTTTAAGCCCACTGGACCCAATCAACAACCGGCAGGCAATTTCGATGTTCAGGCTTCAAGGAACAGTGAAATTGGCAATCCTGTGTCATCCCTCAGGGGCATGCAGTCACAAGCGTTCCGAATCGGTCAAAATACTGGGCCCTCCATAGAGAGACAGAAGAGACTGCCCTACCAGCCAGTTCAGGGTATTCCAACGGGGAATACGCTGCCATCAAGGGAAAACGAAAACACATGCCACCAAAGTTTCATGCAGAGTTTGCTCGCCCCTCACCTTGGAGATCAAGTTAGTGGAAACCAAAGATCAATCCCAGAACATCAAAGGAACACACAGTGTGGCGCCTCCTCCACAATAGAGTACAACTGTCCCCCAGCGCGAGACGGCGTCCACATCCGAAGAGACGGTGATGGCCAGAGTAGGGAAAGCTGTGACATGTCTATTGGGGCAATTAACACAAGGAACAGTTCTTTGACTATTCCTTTTTCGAGTTCTTCTTCCTCGGGAGATATTCAGGGTCGCAATACAAGCCCAAACATCTCTGTGCAGAAGTCCAACCCCATGAGGATGACAGACAGTCATGGAACTAAGAGCCACATGAATACGCCTGTTTCTAGCAACATGCATGGGGTCGTGAGGCCAACTCACCCTCACCCTGCAGTTTCTCACGGAAACGGTGAGCAAGGGCAGCCTTCTGTTCGCCAACCAAATTCTTCAGTTACTCAGCGGTCAAGACATCCTCTGCAAGACAATGGAGGTTCTAAAATACGTCAGCCTGAAAGGAATCGATCTGGAAATCAAAGACATGGAAATGTCTTTGACCCTAGTCTTCCCCATCTTCCCCTGTCCACCAGTGGCAGTATGATCCTTGGGCGCCAGCAGTCTGCGATAGAAAAAAGAGGAAGCATTGTCCGGTTTATGTCTGATGGCCCTCAAGTGTCTAACGATAACACGGCCCCTGACCAACATACTCTCTCTCAAAATTTTGGATTCCCTTTTATTCCAGAGGGTGGCATGAATCCACCAATAAATGCCAATGCCTCTTTCATTCCACCGGTCACTCAGCCTAGTGCCACTCGAACACCAGCTCTAATCCCAGTTGATCCTCAGAATACGCTGCCATCCTTCTATCCACCTTACTCTCCTGCCCACCCTACCCTCTCCAATGACATTTCTATCCCTTACTTTCCCAATCAAATGTTTCCTAACCCAAGCACAGAGAAACCAAGTAGTGGAAGTTTAAACAATCGATTTGGATCCATTTTGTCTCCTCCCAGGCCTGTTGGTTTTGCTCAGCCAAGTTTTCCTTTGCTTCCAGATATGCCGCCAATGCACATGACCAACACGTCGCACTTATCCAATTTTAACTTAACGTCTTTGTTTCCAGAAATAGCCACAGCTCTTCCTCCAGATGGTTCAGCAATGTCGCCTTTGCTTTCCATTGCAAACACATCTGCTTCAGATTCTTCCAAGCAGTCCTCAAACCGACCTGCGCACAACATAAGCCATATTTTAGGTCATGACTGCAGCTCAGCTGTATGAAAACTGATAGACTGACTTCTAGTCTGATGCGTTGTTTATATATTTAAGAAGAAGAGAGTGGAGACCATTCATAGCATCACTGTTTATTTGCCTAAATGTATGTATATGGGTACTTTCTGTATTTATATACATGTTGTATTTCCACCCACCTTACTAACTCTAAAGCACCAGTGCCTAAAGCATTGCTTACTTACTAGTAAACAGTAAGGATGCAACACTGAGAGGTGTGCAAATATTGGTTGTTGATTTTCCAACAATCAAGTTTGATGTCTGATTGTTCCAAGGTAAAGAGAGGAGTAAGAGCATCCGTACGGGAGACAGGAAACAAGTGCTACAGTTGTCGATTTGTTTATGATACGCTTACCTGAAACTGCAGAGGAACTTGAAATGGCTTGGGTTTCTCTTTTGTAAAATATCTTCAGGAGCCTCAACACAAGTCAAATCTGTGTTAACCCAGTGTTAATTGAAAAAGGCATTAGTTGTGCAGCTTTTGTCTGTTTTAAGCTTGCCCTGCACACTTAACTTAAAGCTGACTTTACGTGGTTAAAATTACTACATGTTCGCATGGTCAGCAATTAAAAATACTGTTTTAGAGAATTTGGATCTCTTTAACCCATGACTTTCCATTTCTAAGAAGAATTTTGCTTGGATCTGTTTTAGGAGTGGCTTCAGTTACTGCTGAACTCAGTCAACGTTTAAATGTAGCTTGCGACTCCTTCTGGTGCAGTCAGCAGAGACAGCAGCTGTGTTTGTTGCCATTTCACTGTTCATTGCTGCAAGTTACCTCAGGGTGGGTTTTGTACCTTGGTTAGCACCTTCTTAATGTCCTTTTCCTTTTATTCCCCCTCTCCTTTTCTTTGGCCCATGCTCAAACACCAGCTTTCTGGCTTCTGTGAGTGACAGCCCAACAGCCCTTTGTTGTACCAGGCAGCCCATGGGCGGAGGACTGAACCTGTGGCACCCCACAAAATGAGTGGGGATCCTTGGGTGCAGTGTTCACTTGATATTGCTGACCAGATCAAGCCCAAGTTATTATCAGTACTCTGCACTTGAATGCACCTTTTATCTAAACCTGTGGGATTGTGGCTGAAGGAGGAACATGGTTGTGTCAAGAGTAAACATACCAGGAAGACACTGGGATTTGAACACCACAAGGAAGAATGATGTGTTTGTTCATGTGTGAGATATGGAGTGAATGTGTGTGCACTAGTTGAGTCTCCAGTACTTTCACAAATTTCAATCCCATTTCTTTTAAAGGAAAGGGAAGAACTAGGTAAAATTAATGGCTCTGCACTGTGCTTTTCTTCAAACAAGGCAGAAATATTTGTCTTTTATTTTTATGTGCTTGGAAATGCCATTCTGGGCTTGATTCTTCAAATAACATGGTAACTTCAGGTTCCCTTATATGCAATCCTCCCCCTACCAGCTGCAGAGTGGCAAAACCTGTTCCAGGACCTCTTCTCTGGGCTGGGTAAGCTTGAAATGCTTGTGTGTTGCACACCAGCACATTGTCTTGCTGCTCCTGGGACCTGTCACAGGCCCCTGCTGAGGGCATGGGGAGGAGCAGGCTCCCTGGGATTTTGCTTTGTTATGGTTTAGGTTTTTTTCTTTGAAAGGTGGAAAGGAATATATTCCTCCATCTCCAAGAACAGAACCCTCAAAGACAGACCTGCAACATTTGTCCATAGATTGACTTCCCAGATGTTGTTTTTGCTAAGCCCTTTTCCACTGATCCAGGAAAGTAAGGAGACTCTGACATGAAAAATAATTGGGCCTTGTCTGTAGTCTGTCCCAGCAATGTCTCTGCTCTTGTAACCTGCAGTCTGATATTTTCCCACAAGGTGAAGTAAAATGGTTCTGATTCTGATTGGGAATCACTTTTTAATTCAGATGGAGCCTATCTTAGGACAGTAAATCTAAGTGGTGCATCAGTTCTCTGTGTTTCTTGAAAATAATAGACTGAATATTTATTTCAGTTCCCAGCCTGTGTCTGCCAAAGTGTAGTTACCAATGGAGTGGCAGGCACTGGGCTGTGCAGAGAGCAGGAGGTTTAGGAATGAGTCAGTCCTCAGCCTCAAGCTGACTAAGCCCAACTACAGGTCTCAGTGTTCTGTGGTGAGACTCTTGATCAAATGGATTTCCTTAATGCAGTAGCTCTCAGAGGGGCTGCCTCAGCTGGTGAAATGAGTTCCATAACAGGGAGTGGTTCCATGGTTTCTGGAAGATAAAGACAGGGGGATCGAAGCAGCGGCCACACTGTGCGTTACGTGTTTGTCTGGACTCTGAGGAGGGAAGCAAACCCACCGTTCTTGCTCTCTTTAAATGGCATCGTGTGTGCAGTGGTGGGTTTGGCTTTCAAGACAAACTAGTGAAAAATTAAGCCCTGGCTTCTAGGACTTTATATATAAATATGTTAATCCTTCTCTTCATTCCAGACATTCACACTACCACATTAGTTTCCTCAGCTGGGAAAACTGCATTACTTCATGATGTCTGTGAAAAATGGAGTGACCTTATAAAGTTCTACCTGTTGCAACACTAGAACGTCCACAGATCCATTTGGCTGGATAAGCTTCATTCCAGAGTACTGAAGGAGCAATCAGGACATACGGCAGTATCCCACTTGGTCATCCACCAAAGGTCTGGGGAGGTCCCTGCTGATGGGAAAGTAGCCAGCCTTATTCCAATCTGCAGAAAGGGTGTGAGGGAACTACAGACTGAGTCTAACCGCAGTTCCTGAGTTTGAGGAATAATGCAGTCATCAGGCATAGTCAGCATGGGTTGACAAAGGAGAAACTCCTATCCAGCTAATTTGATATCCTGTTTTGATAAGGTCACCCACTTAGTGGGTGAATGGAAAGTGCCGGATGGAATGTTTCTGGATTTTAGTAAGGGTTTTGATACCATCCCTCACATCATCCATCTGGACAAGCTGTCCAGCTGTGGGATTAGCAAGTTCATGGTGTGCTGGGTGAAGAGCAGGCTGAAGGGCAGAGCTCAAAGGGCTGTAGTGAATGGGGCTACCTCTGGCTAAAGACCAGTCACCAGCAGTGTTCCTCAGTGTTTATCACTGATCTGGATGCAGGAGTTGAGCGCACCATTGGCAAGTTTGCTGATACCAAACTGAGAGCAGCTGTTCACAGATGCTTTGCAGAGGTATCTGGATAGATTGGAGCCTTGGACTGTGACTAATGGGATGAAGTTTAATAAGTTCAAGTGCCAGATTCTGCACATGGGACAAAGTAACACCAGGCACAAGTATAAATAGGGAGTGGTGAGACAGCACCCTGCAGAGCGGGCCCTGGGGGTGCTGGTGGGCAGCAGCTCAGTGTGAGTCAGCAGTGTGTGCCTGGGCAGCCCAGAGGGCAAACCACGTCCTGGGGAGCATCAAACACGGCATCACCAGCCAGTCAGAGGGAGGGGAACATCCCACTGTGCTCAGCGTTGGTGTGGCCTCACAAGGAGTGCTGAGTGCAGTTCTGAGCCCCACCATTTCAGAGGGATGTGAAGGTCCTGGAATGAGTCCAAAAGAGTGCAACAAAGCTGGTGGAAGGGCTGACAGGTGTGTCCTGTGAGGAGCAGCTGAGGGCTCCGTGCTCATCTGCTTTGGAGAAACAGAGACTGAAGGTTCAACCTTCTTGCACTGAGTTGTGAAGGTCAGTTTGTGCCACTGACAGGTCAGTGGCTCAGTTCCTTTTCAGGGAAGAGGAGCAATTGCAACATCTTTACCATGGAGTGAAAACTATTGCTTCCTTCCTTTATTTCTCCTTTCTCCTACCGTTGAACCTGTTGAACCTGTTGTGTTTAGGTTGATAAAGCTCGTTTTACCTCAATCTGTACTTGGGAGAGTACTTTGAAAAAGGAGCATCAGTTTTGCAGATTGAATGATTCTGTTTTACTTGTTATGATAACAATTTCATAAAGAAATACGTTTTCTTCAGCAAACATCTATGACAGCATTTACCTTTTTCTCCTAAGAATTACCTGATCCCTTGTTTTTCAAGATATATTTGTAAAAGACTATTATTTGGAAAAGTTGCCATCTGTTAGCCTGAGAATGCCATTTTCTCTTCCATAATACGTTTTTGAAGGTTACTTATATTAAGACGGGGTTTGTTTTGGCTCTGAAGGAAGGAAAAATACTCAGTATTGCTTAATTTAGCAAAATAAGCAGTGGCAGGGAAAGGTTGGGCACTGCCTCTGGGGTGGGACTGCCGCAGCTGACAGGCGTTGTGTTGTGGCTTTCAGCTTAGCCTAAGTGACTTCTACAAATAGTATTGGGCTGGATTGCATGTATGTCAGTGTAGTCCATGATCAATCCCTTAAGCAGCCTAGGAGAATAAGAACAGAGACAGGCTATGTTGAAAGCAGGCAATAAAATAGTATTAATACTGTGTTAATATTTATATACCTTTTCATCGAGAGAAAAGACCTCATTTAAGAACAGCTAAGGGAAACGAGAACTGAAGTGATTTGAGCTGATGGCTGAGCCTTACTGGAATGGGTTTTCCAGCTCCTGCTCCCAGCTCCAGTCACTATGCTGCTGCCCTGGTGGAAGAGCACCTCTCTGACAAAAAAGAAATACACTGTGCTAGTCCAGAGCCTCCTGATTTTTGCACAGATTTCCTACTGCACTTTAGAGCTGCGCTGGTGCTGCTGTGGTTGGTGACTGTAGTGCTGTTGCAGGTAACAGACTGAGTGGCAGGGCAGCTGCAGAGGGCATTGCTGGAAAAAATGGGCCATTTAATTACTTCTGGTCTCCTGTTATCTTTTCATGTTATTCTGAGGTACTTGTGCAGCCCTGGCTCAAGGACTCGGTCACAAACTCATGCTGTTTCTGGATGACTGAGTGTAGTCAGCTGTGCTAAGAGCTGTGATCTTTTGCCATTCCCCTAATAAGTTTCATGCTCATCACTTTCCCACTTTCACTGCCAAGACAGAATGGCATTGAGTCTGTTTATGACAAATCAGTCCAACTGGTGTTGTTTTCTGATACAGTTCTGTAAGGAGCTCCACCCTTTATCATCACCTGGCCTGTTATCGTCCACCACTGGTCCTTTCTCCCGTGGCCATGATCCAGCATGGGTAGCAGTCTCATGGACAGGAGTGCCACTGCAGAGACAGGTTTGCATGTGAGGGCGCTTTCAAATTCTACTCCCTCTGCAATACCAAGTAAATCTAAAACCTCAGAGCACCAACACTTTATTCCCACTAGTTACCCTGAGAGCAAGTTACTCCATGAACTGGTGAAAGATGTAGTGGAGGTTTTTGGTCATGACAATACAAATTCATATTCTCTCTGCGAACGAACTCTGCTTAGTTACACAGAAGCCATTTATTATATACTGAGACCAGTTTTTATGAGATAAATTTAAAAAATAAAGGCATTCCTTTCTGCCTCACCGAAAGTATCTTTACAAGCAGGTTCCCAAGTTTGCAAAATGTGCTGCTGTTCCGGCAATCACAAGCATGAAACAGTGGAGCTCATGGTGGGCTGGGCTGGACTCACTGTGAGAAGGGAAGCAAATACAGATTTTGCCACAGGAGATTAATCAAAGATGCTGTTGCCCTCCACAGTGTAAATTATTTATATTCAGTCCAGAGTTTTCTGCTGTGCTTCTGTTTTATACAGCTGTAAATGACTTGGATATAGTCCCAGTGGAAAGTCCTTACTATTTTGTAATGGAAAAAAGGAACTTTGCAGTAGAAATCTATAATGAATGAACAGGAACATCATCTTCCAATTGTAAATAAGATCTTGCTCTGTTTATTTTGACATCTTTTTACAAATGTGTTACATTCAGGTGTAAATATCCCAAACCATGATCTTGTTCAGAGTTCTGAGATTTCTATTGTTAAATGTAATACTTTGTTTAATAGTTGTAATAATTATTTGTATAGATATGAACATAATAGTATTTTATTAAAAAAAAAAAGAAAACCACTCTTTGGATACTATGTTCTTGTTGATACAGCTTCTTTCCCCATGGAAAGTCATGCCATTCACTCTTCAAGAGAGGTAAAAATAAAAGTTTTGGGAATTTACAGTTTTCCACTGATGTATATTTTCTGCATAGACCAGGGTTATGCACTGCATTATTTGGAGGTATAAAAATACACAATTGAGAAGAAATATACACATAATAAAGTATCGAAGTGATGCATGGCAGGTGCTGCCCTTGCCCAGGTGACAGTGCTCACTGAGTTGAGATACAACTTCAGGTTTTTATAATGCTTCTCATCACTGCTGCACTGTTTTTGAAGTGCTCTAAGACAGTTCTTTTGTCACAGTTTGAAGCTAAAGGATGTGGTTTGTATGAGAGCAGCACAGAGATGTTGCAAGGTAAAGTCATTGCTGGGAGGCTGCAACAGAAGTTGACAGAACTACTGTGAAACTGTTGTCTGCAGGGGCTCCAGAAAAATTTGCTTGTAAAGATCAAAATTCTCACAGATGCGGAAGATGCCTTTAGGGAACGCCTTAGGGTTTTTTTAATTAAAGTTCAGTATTAAGACAGAGGATCTTCTGTTTTGCTACTTCGGTGACAGCCAGTATGTGTAGTTCATTCAGAGCAGAGGGGAGGGGAAACAGGATGCAAGGCAGGTGAATAGCTCCAAGGAAGGTGCCCTTCACTGCTGGCTAGCTGCAACAGATGCAGGTGCTTCTGTCTGTGAGAGATGGAGCAGGGCACCACGAGGCCCCAGCAATGCCCCTGGGGCAAGGAGGTCTCGCTTGGCTGCCCTCTGGCATTCCTGGGCACTGAGAGCTGCCAGGGTGTCCTTGGGCCCGACGGGCTCATACAAGTGCTTGGTGTGGCCACGTGCACATAAGGAAAACCACAGACAAAGGCACTGGTGAAACTGGCTCAGTGTTTCTTCTCTCAGCTTAAGCCAGAGATAGAGCATAGAGCCAGAGGCTGCATACCACAGTCTCAAACAGACCCTGCAAGGGTCATAGATAAACTCTGGCAGCCACCACTTCCAGCCAGACCAGCTCCTGCTTCCTTCAAGCTCCTCACAGACCCTTCCATGAGCTGAGGAAGAGATTCACCTGAAAAGTGAACTATTTGTTTCCCTTCAGGAGTTGTGACAGCAGTTTATGCTGAGCATGTGATGGGGGAAGCAGGGACCCCACTATTGGCCTGCAGGCAGTAGAAAGGCCTCCCCACCTTTTAACACAATTCCAAGATGCTGCTCTGCTTTTCTGCCTTTACACTTCTGTTCCTTAGTGAGCAGAGAAAGGTGAGAAAACAATAACCTGCAAATCATGGAATGAAGGTCCTCCACCTATCCAGTGACAAGCTGGACAAGGACAGCAGGACTCAAGAAAAGCTGCATTCCAGGTCCAAGGGCTGCACAGCCAAGTGTGACCAGGACAGCTGGGAGACAGAGAGCTTCCCAGGTGACCAGACAGACACACTAGCAGCCAGAGGGATCCCTGGAGCTGCTGAGTGAGGTTGGGCGCTGCAGCCACTAGGTGGGAGAACTGAAGTACAAACAGAAACCAGCAGGCAGGGCAAAGCTAAGATGAAATTTTAAAAAGGGATGCATCATGCTGGAAGCACAGAAGCAGCAGGGAGACGATTCTAACCTTTCCTCCCATCTCTCTGGCTTGAGGTGCCTTGTATTTAATTTCTTTCATGGTTTTCTTGCTCGTTCTGTGCTGTTCTCCAGCCTTCTCCAAGCTCTCTCTCCCTCACTGTTACT